ACAAAGAAATACATACAGCCTAACAGTCCAGAATCTAGGAATACAGGAGAATGCTAAGATACCAGTCTAGAGTTAGAATAATTTAACAGAGGCACTCTGACATTCAAGTGGACAACTGTCAGCCTTAGATACCAGTCTAGAGTTAGAATAATTCAACAGAGGCACTCTTTGACATTCAAGTGGACAACTGTCAGCCCTGGAACTTGGCAAACTCCAGGTACTATGTCTATATTACCAACTGTTATCTACATGTATTAGGAATAAAAAAATAGAAAGAGAATGATGGCATTGCAACTCCAGTGATGAAAAAGACTTATTTTATGCTTTCTTAGAATCAAGACTTTGCTTAAGCTCATCTCACAAGAGCTAAAGGAGCTTACACCAACAATTACTAGTATTCCCAGCTCTGTATATGACAACTGGATGTGTTCATTGGTTGTTTTTTTATTATTATTTGAAGGATAAAGTCACACATGAAGTTGCAATTCATCAATATGGAAGTAATGCAGCTTATCACTTGCTCAGAATCTTGGAAGCCTCAAGTCTTGTTCAACTCTTTGATCTTTGGAATTGCCCTGAGACATAAACATATCAAAGTAAACATCTCTGCAGAAAGCACCCTTTGTGGGCTTACAAGGGTCCTCCAAACAACAACAAACACTTTTTGTTCCCCTTCTCAAGGCATTTCTTTGCTGCTTATCAAGGGCTGGGGGTTTGCTTTTCTTTTTAAAAAACATGCCATTTCTCATACAAATTTTACCCTCACACATGCATCTGGGCATGTGTGCACATATGTAAGACTGAATTTCCCCAAAGGACTAATGCTATACTTATGCATCAGGATTCTTCCTTCAAGCATCCTGATTAAAAAAAAAAAAACCAAAAAAACCCAAAAAAAACCCAAAAAAAAAACCCCAACAAAACACCTTTCTGGCTACTACTTTGAGCAATGCAGTCATGTTGCAAATAGCACTGTTCACTTGACCTCTCCTGCAGCTGGAAGAGCTGTTACCAGCACTGAAGTCACCCACAGGCTTGAGAAGACAGTTCAAGTTTGCATTTGGAAGGCTTCAAAAGAACAGCCACAGAAATTAGCATTTCATACTTAAAATAATGCAAGGTTCCTGAGGTCAAGTTTCTTGCAGAATAACACTACTTTAGACTTCTACACCTAGAGGGACAGCTCAGATGAAGGCCAAAGCTCCTATACATTCTTGAAATCCAAGCCAGAAGAGTTTGCCAATGTTTCTTTGCACGTCTGGGAGGACTTACTGGAGCAATCATTGTTCCTGTTTTAACTGACCTGCTTCTCATAAGAACTGAATTGTGTTAAGAACAACAAGTTAGATTTTAAGCAGCTGTTTCCTCAATTCTGATCGAATTTTGACATGTCAGGTCAAAGGAGTTTTCAACCACCCTTATTTCTTAGTAAAGCTCAACAGCAATTTTCTATAAATAAGTGTTAACTGTCTGTAGTTGCTCTACATTCCCATATACATCTCACTAAGGACAATGAGATTATTACTTTTTTAGAGAAAATAATATCCAGGTATCTACCTAAACCACTCAGATTTTCCTCTGGACAACACAAGAGTAAGCTACTGTGGGAAGCAGTAAGTTGCAGACGTATATATGCATTCCTTATCTTGCTGTATTTCTATTTTGCTTCTAAGATTAATTTTCAATTACTCTTGGAGAAGTCCACTTCGGCACTAGGATGCTCTTGAATGTCAGAGTTGTAAAGGTTAAAAGCAGAATCAATACATTTGGATTGCACTTGTGGGAACAAGAATTAGAAATGCTTATCTGAACAATAAGCATTTGCAACTGTTACAAGAATTCCTGCAGTTGGTTGGGTATCCAAGGGGTGATATTCAGCATTCACTTAAAAAACCTCAACATAATCGAAGTCAATATGCAAAAGGCACAACTTCCTGAGGAAGCTCTGGAAAGAAAACCAAATCTTCCTCGGCCAGCAGAGAGCAAGGAATGAAGAGGTCATTTCCCCACACACAGCACCTTTCAGCACTCGGCTGGAGCACTGTGCTGTTTCCAACACTGATCAAGATGACTTCCTACAGATACTCACCTTTGTCCTTGCCTAGTTAAACTACAGCCACCTTAAATTCCAACAGATTCCCTCCAATTGCCTTATCACAAAAGCCTTCAGCTGACTGGAGGGGGGGACTGGTTTTTTAACAGTTGTTCCCCTGCAATTAGTGCAATGAGGTCAGAATCCCATTATCAGACTGATTTTATCAACTGAAACGAGAGCTTTGTCTTGCAGTCTTCCTAACATACGCAATGCACCACAGCTACTCCACAGAGAACTCTTTGAGCTACCTGAGCTGTTTCAAACACAGGCAGCCAACTCCAGGAGCCAAGAGCAGCCAGTGGAGGGGGAGAGGAGCGTGAGGCAGGACAGCCACAGCAAACTGTGCCCTGCTGAAGCAGGCAGTGCACTCACCATCCTGCTACTGCTGGCCTAGACTCTGCAAGCAGCCTCTATCTTTGGTACTTGATCATCACTCCTTCCAAGGAGACAGACTCTTTTCCCAAATGTATTTTTGAGACAAGACTCAAGAGATCAGACAGAGCCACTCAGGGACTGCCACAGAGACAAACATGCACCTGATTCTATTTGATTATCTGCTTTACACAGCAGTGTTAAATGGAGGAGAAAACCACCCACTGAAGGAGTCTCTTTTGAGTTGTGTCTGAAAAAATTTCACAGAACCACTGAAGCTGAGAAGCCAGTCTTGAGTCTCACCTTCTGTCTCAATGTACATC